ACTTCGCCTAACAATTTTTGGCCGTTGACAGACTTCACATGAATTTATAAAATTTCTTACATGTTCTTGCATGTTTTTCCACTTGTAATTTTGTTGGATTTTAATTATCGTTTCATTTATGCCTTTGTGGCCAAGTACTGGACTACTATGGTATTGTAGCGAGCACGAGCGTGTTTGTGTGCGATCGGTCATACGTGTGTGTGAGCAGCTTATCGATTTGCCGACTAGCCGCGGGCGCCTTTCTTCATGTGCGCTGTATCTGTAAACGTGTGTGTCGTACCTGCGTTCCGGGAAAACAATTAAACAGTTCAAAGAAAACGAAACTTTTCCGGACGGCTCAAGAAAGTTCCAGAAAGGACACAAAAGAGTGTATAAAGGAACAGACGATCGCCAAGAGAGTAGAAATAAATTGACTGTTGTAGAAGTGAAAGAGTAGAAATAAATTGACCGTTGCAGAAGTGAATCTAGAAATAAATTGACAGCGCAGTGAATGGTGATATATCAACAGTACAGTGAATAAATAGAATAATTACTTAAGTTGGTAATAACTTAGTAGTGTTTTTAAGTCCTTTAATAATCATTAGTGTAAATAAATAGTTTTTGTCGTTGTGAGTCTTAAAAGTTAATTTGTTAAACCCACGAACATTACAGTATTTTTTTATTAGATCATATATTTGATCTTGATTTAAAGGATTAAATGCTTTTGTTATTACTTTCAGATTATTTGGTATTTGGTATAACTGTTTTACAAAACTATCGGTTCGCACAAGTTCAGCATTATTGGTATGGTTTAGAATGAAAATATCAGTATCTACTGTCGAATAAGATGTCATTATGGTCGATATTTTATTTGCTAAGTTATCTTTAAGAGGGTGATATTCTAAATCATCATAATTTCTACTAACATATAGCTTTATGTCATCTACTGGTTCAATATCTACAAAATCGAGTTTAATAATGTTAAAGTACTTATCGGTATCGTCTTCAACTAAGATGAGTGGTGCGTTCGGTATAATAGGTTCGGTGATTATACTAAAATTAGGATGATCTTCGTTTATTACGTAATTACTAATATCTAAAGGTTCGGAGGAATAAGGGGAATGATCGTTACTGTTGTTTATCTGCTTAAACTCTTGATTATTTTCGGCGGGATCCAAGTCTCCTAATAGATCCTTTCGGTCTTTGACCAATTGTTCGATAGGATAGTCGTCTTTCTTGTTTCGCACTTTAATTTGAATGCATTCCTATTGAGGGTACCGCTTTTGTAGATGATTTCATAATCAAATTCCCCCAGTTTTAATCGCCAGCGGGTTATACGACTTCCAGGACATTTGATGCTGAATGACCAGCTGAATGGACGATGGTGGGTTATTATTTTGAATCTTCGACCAAATAAATAGGGACGAAAGTGTTTGCAGGCCCAGACTATAGCTAAAAGCTCGTGTTCAGTTATTGAGTAGAGGGTTTCTGCGTTGTTTAGGGTACGGGATGTATAGGCTACTGAGAGATCTTTGCCAATCGGTCCTTGTGACAGAATTGCACCAATTGCAATTCTGGAGGCATCTGTGGTTAAGTTGAATGGCTCTTCGAAATCAGGATATTGTAATATCGGTTTGCACGTTAGGCTCTTCTTCAGGATTTCAAACGACTCTATACGCATTGTCCATGACTCGTTGAAAAGTGGACGGTGAATTTTTAAGGCCAATAGGCATCCGCAAAAATTTAAAATGTCCTTGCTCGGTGTTAAAAACTGTTTTCTGGATCGATTCCCCTTCAACCTCGATTTGGTGGAACCCAGGGGTCAAGTCCAACGTTGTAAAATAAGCGCTGCGTCCCAAGTTATCAAGGATCTCGGTGATGTTCGGCAACGAATATTTATCAGAAATGGTCTTTTCATTCAACTTTCTATAGTCAATGACGACTCTCCATTTCTGTTTGCCGGATGCGTCGATTTTTTTAGGAACTACCAAGACTGGGCATGAACACGGGGAAAAACTTGGCCTAATTATCTTTTGATCCAGCATCTTTTTAATTTGAGCAGCTACTCCTGGTTTGTGGATTTTGAGTTAAAACGAACTAATTGTGTTTTATCTATTTGTAATATTTCGATATCAAGATCGTAAATGTCTAAAGCAAAATTTTTTTTGGTCTCATTTAATTTCACTGACGTAATTATTATTTAATTATTATACTACCATTGGAGTCAGTTTTGACTATGCAATTAGGGATTGTGCGTAATTCGCTACACATCATCTCGTTAGCTCAGGATGAACCAATGGACTAGTATTGTCAAATTAAAGACCCTTCTTGCGTTAAAGGTTTATATTTTCAAAAACACAACACTATTTACAAAAACTTAATGTATAAAACCTTAACCTACACATAACCCTGTTTATGTGCAGATTTCCCAAAATTATACTCCTTGAATTACAAACCCGATACGAGAGCGCCTACTCGTCTTGAAAGAAACAAATGTACTTCTCTTTCTGAAATTCTGTTTGAGAAACTGCCTACCTCCTCCTTGAACCTTTTTTTATTGCCACTTGTTTTCAAGTTTCCATCTGCCTGCATATAATCTATAATGTCCCAAAGAGAAAGTTAGCAGGCATAATCCCAGCCCTGGTAAATGTATATTTTTCAAAAAGGAGCAGACAACAGCTACATAGTTTTAAATTATTTTTTCTAGGAAATCTGAACAATGTTTTTCTGCTCCTTTACAAAGCAATCCTTTTTTCTTTAATGTTTATTTTGGAATCATAGAAAAAAAAATTATTGAAATTAATTTTGTTGAAATTAATGCTGCAAAAACTATAAGCAAAGCAACTACACAAATATGAAAATTGTTAGGTTTTAGTAGAGATTTTTTTTAATACTTCATCAACGAGCTCTACCAATAAAAAAAATATTATTATGCATTATTTAAAGTCACAACATTGAAATACTATTACCTTTTTTTACCCAACTTTGAATGAATTTTATCAATCGGTAGATCGTTTTTGTCCAGCTCCGGCGTTCTATTCGGCTCTGCCTCTTGCATACCATCTTTCTTGTTACCTTTGTTCGCTAAATTCCGTGATGGCCGTTGACTGTCTTTGATGCTAGTCACTAGTTCGGTTTCTCGTTCCTTCTTCAATTCACACATTGCTTCATAACCTTATGACACGAAAAGAAATCAACATAATTTATTTATGAAGATGATCTTTATCATGCTCAACATTTCTACATATATATACTTACTTCCAGTAGCCTGTAAAATAGCTGAGTACGGAATCCATTCAGATTTAACTTTTTTATTTGATGAAGGCCTTTTTATTAATATTACACTTTTTTCGGATTTCAAACAGTTTACACGACTCTGACAAGTCATAGTTAGTAGTTCGTTTCTTAAATTAGTATCAAGAGGAAATTATAAATATTGTAATGTTCGTGGGTTTAACAAATTAAATTTTAAGAAGAAAACTATTTATTTACACTAATTACTATTAAACTTAAAAACATTATTAAATTACTACTAAACTTAGGTAATTATTCTATTTATTTACACTACTGTTACTATTCACTGTTCTATTTATTTCACTTCTATTACTTTGAATTTATCTCTTGATTCACCTCTGCAACAGTCAATTTGTTTCTACTCCACTTCGGCGATCGTCTCTTCCTTTTTAGACTCCCTTGCCTACTTTCGGGAACGTTCTACCGCAGTCCAGAGAAGTCTAGTTTTCTTTGAACGGTTTAATTGCTTTCCCGGAACGCAGGTACGACACACACGCTTACAGATACGGCGCACATGAAGAAAAGCGGCCGCGGCTAGTCGGCGAATCGATAAGCCGCTCACACACACGTATGCTCGATCGCACACAATCACGCTCGTGGTCGCTACAATATCAAATAATTTATTCAAAATAATCTATTAGTTATAGTGTTCGAAATACCTTTAGTGATCACTTTGAGTTACGATCTTTACGAGATTCATCCATTATTAACTCTCCACAAAAACGATCCCAATCTATTCTCACGCTCGTAGTCGCTACAATATATAAAAGCATTAAATATTTAATTTAAATGTGTACGCATGCAAATAATATCTAAGATGTCATTATGGTCGATATTTTATTTGCTAAGTTATCTTTAAGAGGGTGATATTCTAAATCATCATAATTTCTACTAACATATAGCTTTATGTCATCTACTGGTTCAATATCTACAAAATCGAGTTTAATAATGTTAAAGTACTTATCGGTATCGTCTTCAACTAAGATGAGTGGTGCGTTCGGTATAATAGGTTCGGTGATTATACTAAAATTAGGATGATCTTCGTTTATTACGTAATTACTAATATCTAAAGGTTCGGAGGAATAAGGGGAATGATCGTTACTGTTGTTTATCTGCTTAAACTCTTGATTATTTTCGGCGGGATCCAAGTCTCCTAATAGATCCTTTCGGTCTTTGACCAATTGTTCGATAGGATAGTCGTCTTTCTTGTTTCGCACTTTAATTTGAANGCCAAATGGTTTTGAATGGAATTTACAATTTTTCCATTGATTCCCACTGAACTTCAATGGAAATTTTTCCTACGGACTTGGCTGAGTGTTCGGGCTGTGGCGTCGGCGTAGGCTGAATAGGAACTTTGAGAGGTGAAGGTTCCAGGTCTCCTGTTGGCAATTGTTGAAGCTGATGCGAAAGCCCTTCTTTATTTCTTGGTTGCAACAACATTATCTGCGCCTTTCGTTTTTAATTTCATCATAAGGGTTTTCAGTAGCGAGGGGAACATGAGGCCTCCCTCCTTCCTGGGCCCAATTTCCAGGTTGATAAAATACATCGCCAGTGTTTCTGCATTGGCCCAAAAAAACTCACATCATGTGGTTGAGTTATATGTGTTGAATTTGATGGGAGGAATACCATTTTTATGTCATACATTTGACAAAGTCTCACACATTCTGTGGATAAATGGCACGAAAGGTCGTCTCCGATTAAAACTTTGGTTCCAGTTTTTTTTTTAGGAACGTAATTGCCACCGTTTTTGGAGTTTGTGAAGACCACCAAGGAGGGTGGAGTAGGTGTATTCTAGTCAGGTCTAACAGGCCCCTGAGCTCGTTCTGCGCGATGGTTATCGGGTTGGGGGAAGCTCTTATGGGACGTCTGGCGTCGACGTGATTATCAAGCGGCGGGGCGGCGGCGGTCTCGGGAGTTCATCGAAGTCCGTTCGGCTTGGCCGTTGCGGTGTGAAGGACTGGTAGCTCTACTTGCTCAGTAGAGAGTTAGGGCGGTTGCTCTACTTGTCCAGTAGTTAGACCGGAGGAGAGTTTCGCTTGTTCAGCGAGAACTCTGTTACTAGCACCCTCAAGCGTTTTATAGGGTTGCAACCGCTACTCCTATCCTTGGCCGTCAGAGTGATACTTGGAGAGGCTACACGTCTTGGTCTGGGAGCAAGTTAAGTTGGTCCGCCGGTTGGCCGAGTGATGCCTGTCTGGGCCCCGCGGGGTGCGACGACAGGCGAATTTTGTGTCTGGAGGCCGCCAGGTTTGTATCAATATATACGTATTGCTCTTTAAGGAAATGAATAATTGAAATAATCTTTTTGGCCAATGGATTTTAAAATTGTGACCTCATCATTAGACACCGATTTTACTAATTTTGGTTATTATAAAATAGTCCTTGAAATTATTCAAATTAAAATAATAGCTTTTAAATTGTAACTCTGTTATAGTGTTAGGAACATAAAACATACCTTGGTTTTCTGATAAGCGTTTAATCACTTACGATAAGGGTTTAGTAGGTGTTTTTAGCATCCGAACTAGTCTTCCTAAATAACTTTCAAAGAAAAAAACAGCTTATATCATATTTTCATCATAATGAGTAATGTGCAAAATATTGTAGATGTTTTAAATTAATGAGTTTACACCGTGTTACTTATCAAAATTACTTACAAAAGACAAAAGTAAATCTTTAGCACAGTTTATGTTGAGATCAGAAATATTTAACACTAAAACACCCGTATATAACGTAAATAATCTAAATTCGGTAGCTTTCCAATGGTTCAGCTTATTAAGACCCCTAGACTATTAAACTTCTTCGGAATAAATTCTGCGACATGCTCTAAATACCGCGATATTTCTGTTCTATCCGGTAAATGAAGAAAACATCATCATCATCATCATCATAAGGTCATCAGTCATTAGACTGGTTGGACACGTACCTCCACTCTTTCCTATCCTGAGCTAAACTTTTTTTTCCTAAAACTAGAACTGCCCACATCCTTAACTATTTGCGAAGAATAATCTAATTTATGTCTACCTCTACCCCTTCTAACTCCTGTTTCTGCCTCTAATATGTCTCTGACTAGACCTTCATGCCTGAGAAGGTGTCTTACCAACCTATCTCGCCTATTTTTTATTGACTTCCATAGAATCCTCTGTTCTCCTTTTCGTGGGTAGAAAAGGTTAGAAATGAAGAGGTATTGGAAAGAATAGGAGAACAGAGGACTCTATGGAAGTCAATAAAACGCTTCCGAGANTATGGAAACATAAATGCATTGAATCAAGGACAACAGAAGACACACAATTAAAATTCATGATTTGTAGAAGAGTGGTAACTCCATTATGGTGTTCTGGTTATTCTTATGATATAAAATTATCATTAGAGGAGCGTTAGTTTCTTTAAACAGCTTTTTGCCCTGGCAATACTGCCCTTGTTGAGTACATCTTTCGCAACCGTATTTACCATTGTAACCTTTGAGACATTTAATGTATGCTCCCGTTGGAACATCACATGTAAAACACATAATTTTTTCTTAGTAGGTGTTACTATTATGTTCATATCCTGATTGTATCATGGTATTAATTTCCTTTATAAATGGAGAGAAAAAGTCGTTTAAGTCGGGTTTACCGTTTCCGCAGAAGATAGCAATGGGAAATGGATATATGTTAAAATTAAGTATAAACACTTTTCCTAATATTGACCAAAACTATCTATTCGAACTTTAACTCAGTGGCGCATCATCAATGTTAAATATTGTCACTCAGTGAAGTTTTAAGGAAACTCAAAAAACCATTTGAGACTTTAAAACATATTTCAAAGTTAACTAAATATTTCCATATATATATACTTATAACATTGCTATTCTTTTCAAATTCATAAAACAGTTATCGAGTTCATTTACTTGTAAAGTAAGCGTATTCGGCATTCCGCAGCAACGAAGCAGTAAGCGAAAATAATTATCTTTGTACAAGCAGAAGCCAGTTACATAGTTCTGGTCATTGTGAAGGTAATTGAACTTCGCGAAGTCATCAAAAAGGACTTCGTCAGTTTTTTCGTTAAATCAGCTAAACCAAAGAAACTTCTAGAACCAGTGAATGTTGAACTATGTACAAATAACTACTGGTTTCTGAACGGGCGGATGTTGGTGATATTGTGAAGTTCGGGACGAAAAGTTAGACTTCGGTAATGCAGGCAACACCGATTAACTTTTCCTGTAGAAGGTGCTCGCGGTCAGTCCGTTTATCTCTAATACGTTGAGCTTTCCAGGTAATTACTCTAAGATTATTTTATCCACTGAACTATGTTTGGAGAGCGACGACAATGCGGCGATCATCGTTTGCACAATGACATGGAGTTTTTGTTTGACGGTGCTAGGTGGGGGGCCTGATCTCACTGCCCTGATGTGAAATTTTGAGGGGCCGTCTTTATGGAGGTAACTGGGAGACGGGGACTAGCTGAGCGCTTTTTGGAGCGGCTGTAGTGGGAAGAGGAGTGGCGGTTTTCTTAATTGCTGCTATTCTTTGTAGAGCCTTGGGGCAGCCGCGCTTAGTGGCACAGTGGTTGCAATTTGCGTAGGAGGAGGTGACGGCCTTTTTACCCTTACATCTGGCGGTATCGTGGTTACGACCGCAGATGGAGCAGACCCATGCAGTAGTTGGTCGTGGAAGAACTTTAATGGCTCTTTTTGGCTCAAGTCTAACGTTCAGCTCACAGAGCTTGCCAAGTTCTATGATTAACTTTGACTTTGCGGCTGACCTGTCCAAACGGACGGACACTATTGGCCAGATTTTGTTACCTTTCAATAGAGAAACCTCTATGGGTCAGTTCGAGCTGAATTACGTCCATGGAGATGGCTTCGCCGACCCTATGAAGGGCGCCATGAAGATCCCTGTCTTGACGAAGTTGACAATTCAACCTTGAATTCGTCTAGGAATCTAAGGCGGTGACGGATGGTGGTTCTGGATCTGTGGCTTAAGTCTGGGAGGGAACGACGGCTGATAAAGTGCTAGACTCTGTATCCTCGGACATGGGGATTGAGGCTGATTCTGCAGATGTATGAACTTGTTGAGAATAAGAAGTTTGAATTGAAGCTTGCTCGCTAAGTCATAGTATCTGCAAGGGAAATTCCCTCTAAGAGTGCGAGGCTCTTAGGGGTAGTTATTCCTAGAATAGTAAACGTACGAGAGTGAACGTACTATTGCGAAATCGTGCTGGTTCACGAAAAAAGAAAGTTTTGTTAAGTTACTTCAGGTTGGGTTGGGTGTGGTGTGTTGGATAAGTTCAGAGGTACATTGTGTACTTCATCCCAAAGAATTGCTATTTAATTAATCACAGGAAAAAATTGGTTTCTATACTTAATAATCGACTGGGCTGCTGCTCCACCTGAAAGGAAAATTTTTAACGTGGCGGATAAAAGCTACGTCGTAACTCCTACGACGTCGATGTTCGTCGCTGCTGGAGTGGTCCGTTTACATCGAAAGTCGAGTCGAGAGTAAATTTCTGTAGCCTTTACACCGATATCTATATGAGGGTGCGACAAAGCATGGTGGAAAGTCCGATGAATACGGCATCGTGGTTGGTTGTTGTTAGTTGGTACTGGCGACACGTTCTTGAGACGGTGGTTAGTCGGCCGGTCGACAGTAGCCTTGAACGCCCATACGGTGTCAGATTCATTCCCATTAGGTAAGCCCATAGAATCTATGGCGTAGATGGTGTCTGAACAATTTGTTGGGTCGGGATGATAATAATAGTCACATTCCCATGTATCTCCATTTCCTGACTCCAGCTTAATTCTTTAGCCAACATTGTAGTTGCAGGCAGTTTAGTGNCTGTTTCTGCCTCTAATATGTCTCTGACTAGACCTTCATGCCTGAGAAGGTGTCTTACCAACCTATCTCGCCTATTTTTTATTGACTTCCATAGAATCCTCTGTTCTCCTTTTCGTGGGTAGAAAAGGTTAGAAATGAAGAGGTATTGGAAAGCATACAAGAAAACATAAATGCATTAAATCAAGGACAACAGAAGACACAATTAAAATTCATGATTTGTAGAAGAGTGGTGACTCCATTATGGTGTATTGGTTGTTCTTGTGATATAAAATTATCATTAGAGGAGCGTCAGTTTCTTTAAACAGCTTTTTGCCCTGGTAATACTGCCCTTATGTACATCTTTCGCAACCGTATTTGCCATTGTAACCTTTGACACATTTAATGTATGCTCCCGTTGGAACATCACATGTAAAACACATAACTTTTGCTGAGTAGGTTGTTCATATCCTGATTGTGTCATGGTATTAACTTCTTTTATAAATGGAGAGAAAAAGTCGTTTAAGTCGGGTTTACCGTTTCCGCAGAAGATAGCAATGGGAAATGGATATATGTCAAAATTAAGTAAAAACACTTTTCCTAATATTGGTCAAAACTGTCTATTGGAACTTTAACTCAGTGGCGCATCATCAATGTTAAATATTGTCACTCAGTGAAGTTTTAAGGAAACTCAAAAAACCATTTGAGACTTTAAAACATATTTCAAAGTTAACTAAATATTTCTATATATACTATATACTCGTACTTATAACGTTGCTATTCTTTTCACATTCATAAAACAGTTATCGAGTTGATTTACTTGTAAAGTAAGCGTATTTGGCATTCCGCAGCAACGAAGCAGTAAGCGAAAATAATTATCTTTGTACAAGCAGAAGCCAGTTCCATAGTTCTGGTCACTGTGAAGGTAATTGAACTTCGCGAAGTCATCAAAAAGGACTTCGTCAGTTTTTTAGTTAAATCAGCTAAACCAAAGAAACTTCTAGAACCAGTGAATGTTGAACTATGTACAAATAATCACTGGTTCATCAAAAAAGTTTAGCGCGTAAACGGGGATCGATAGTCTGGTCGCAA